TGTCAACCACTCCCCTTGTCAACCACTCCCCTTGTCAACCACTCCCCTTGTCAACCACTCCCCTTGTCAACCACTCCCCTTGTCAACCACTCCCCACACGTCGCTGCCATTGATTAGCACCCCCCGTCTATAAAGAGTCACCGATTCATATTGACACGACCTTCTGCTATAGGACAAATGTGACGGGCTCCGTCCGGCTTGTTCGGCCTGTCAGGCCTCCGGCCAGACCTGTTCCTATGATCCTCACGCAAAGAAGCGCGGCTTACCGGAAGGATATGTCCGCGGGCTGGAGAAGCTGTGGGCCCTGTCGATCTGCAACATTGAAGGCTTCGAAGACACCATGCTAGCTCTATTGGGCACTACAGCTGAATCAGCGTATCGGAGAAACAAGCTCATGTCACTCTGGACTGACGATAGCACCTCTGAGTCCTTACACGAATCATGGAAGACGAGTCGACTCTACAGCGCGCTCGAGAAGATGCTGTCGAATTCCGATCCATCGCCTCACCCCTCGGGAAAACGACCTCGAGAAGATCACAAGGACGACTCAACCGGCGGGGGGCCAGAATGGGGATTTCGAATCGATCGGAGCTCGACTGTCCAGTCGCTCGACAATCCGCGTGTAGTTGGGCCCTCCAATTTCTCTCAAGCAAAGCGACCCAGGCTGTCATTACCACCTGAAACTCAACCGCCGTCGCAGACCAAAAACGGGACGCAGGCGCTGCAATTGCCGCCACAGACATCGCAGCTCCTGGACATCTATTTTGCCGTGACTCACTCGTGGTTTCCTATTGTTGCCAAGCACAACATTCTTCGTGCTTCCTACTTGTACGCAGGTGCGCCCGTTTCCGTGGCGAAAATGGCCCCCGGTTCGGGTGACCATGCTGCCCTGTGGGCCTTGCTTAGTTATACCATCTCGCAATCCCGGATCAACCCGCCGGACGGGCCTTCAGGAGTGCTTGCCCAGACAAAGGAGTATTATTCGGTTGCTCGTTCCTTGATTCCGACTGAGACTGAACGTTATGAACTTGGACATGTGCAGGCACTGCTTTTGCTCACCCTGGTCAATATGGGATTGGAAGATTGGACGGCTGCTTGGTTGTTGGGGGGTCAAGCAGTTCGGATGGCGATCTCCCTGGACTTGGGTGTCTTCGCAGATGTGCGACGCTCTGACGAATTGCGGCAGGGCAAGGCCGTGTTCCTTGGTTGTTTTGTCGTAGACTCTTTGCTGTCGTTCCGCATGTCGAGGCGACCTTCCATGCATCCTCGGGATCTTAACACGGTGGGTTTATTGGAGGAGGATGGCCTGGAAGAATGGAATTCATGGGCAGACGTGTTGCCCCCCACAACAGTCGGGCAGGGTAAGAGTCCGCGTCGCGGCCCCCTCCTCGCTTTGAGTTGTTTCAATCGACTGGTCGAATTAGCTAGCGTGCTGAACAAGATCGCTCGCGACTTTTCGCCGGGCTCGGGCGCTCCGCTCTTCTCTCAGCAGCTGGTTCTCGAACTCAAGCAGTGGGATGATCGTCTGCCACTTGGATGCCGCTTAATTGGTCCCGAAAGCATCTATCCGGAACGACATTCCTCTTTACTTCCCCACCAGAGTTATCTGGCACTGACTTATGTTGCTACTCTTCTCTGGCTTTATCTCCACATTGCTCCTCAAGAGCTCGGGTTACCTCGGTCTCAACGTCCAGCTGTAGAAGGGGCGAAGAAGCTTCTCTACCGGGCTCTTCCTATCATCACTCAGCATCTAGAAAATTTCCACCTCTGCGGTTTGCCGCCTCTATTCGAACTGTCCCTACGGACGATAGCCGAGCAAGCTTTCGTCTTACGCAATAAGATCGAATCAGACATGTTCCCGTTTGCACAATGGGCGGAAGCATTGGTGGAGCGAACGACTATACTGGGCACTACTTGGCCTGTCTACCGCTCATTGTGTACTACTATCGACCATTGGAACCGTTCCAAAGAGCTCCCTGGAACCCCAATGGCGTCTTTCCGGGGTGTTGAAGCCGAGGGTGCTCCACGATTAGCACACGGAGTAACCAGTAATCCGTTCACACCTGCGCCTATACCTACTTCGTCAGTTGGGTATCAAGCCTTACCTGGAGAAG